CCTGCGAGGGGAAGGGGACGTTGCCGGGAGTCCAGGGGTGGAAGCCGGGGAGCCCCGAGAAATGGGCCAGGAGAGGCGGGGCGTCTGCAGTGGGCGTCGTCGGGGCGGCCGGCTCGGGGGCTGGCGGCCCTCGGGGAGGGACGAGGCGGGCTCCCCGGAATCCCCGCAGCCAGGTTGGCGGGAAGCCCTCGGTGGGCAGGGAAAGGGACTTGCAGCGTGTGGCTTGGCATGGCACTGGCCGAAGGCTCCGGGTGTGTGTGGGGGGTGTCACCTCTCGGAGCACCCTGCCCGCCCCACCTGGTTTCCACAACTTCTTTTCCTCACTTGTGGCTTCTCCCAGCCCCCACGCTCGTCTTCACTCCCTCTTGGCCTTTTGAGGCATGGGGTGGCCACCGCTGCCCCCCTCGGTTCTTCTGTTCTCTTTCCAGAAAAAAAAAAAAAAGGAGGACCCCAAAACGCAGTGGGTGCTACCCCGACGTGCTACGGCTTTACCCTGGGACTCCTGGGGGCAAAGGTTACTAGGCTGGCAGGTCCGCTTCCGGCCGCGTTGACGTGGTGGAGCTGTCCTGCGTGATCTGACGGCATTGGGGGACACAGTGGGACACAGTAGGCTACCGACAGCATTGTCTCCGGCTTGGTGAGGCCACTTTGGCCACCTTCCCTGTACATGCCTGCGGGAAGCCCTGTGCTGTTTACCTGGAATGCCCATGTGTCACCAAAGGATGCAGGGGGAGAAAATTCATTCTTGGGCCTCGCCTTTGGACACTTCCCTGCCGTTGTGTCCTTGGTCTTCTCTTAACGGCCTTCCAGGGTGGAAGAGCCTTTAGTGCCTCCCTGGAGGCAGGTGGAGTCTTCCCTTCGGGGTTGCACGAGCGCACCCTCTGAGCTACCTGTTGAGTCTTCTTAGTGTTCACTTGACTGCAAGTTCGCTGCTGGATCATAATCGGAAAACAACCGTGGTAGTCGATTTTAGGACCCCAAATGGGGGAAAGGGCACAGGCTTATTTTGGATGGACACATGGCATCTTTTTTCAGGGAAGCTACCATGATAGGCTGTTTGGTGCTTAAAACCGAATTTGTATCACCTTTGCGTGCTGCGATTCATGATCAACTTGCAGTGCTTTTTATAAGGACATGGACAAGCAGCCATTTTTATATGACTCCAGGTACCTTTCTCGATAAGTTGATAGGCATGAGAACAGTGTTAGAAACGCCCCAGCATGGATTTGAGTTTTTGATTTGGATTTGAGTGATCGATACTGTTGTTGAGCATGCACACTGCACACCCCTACCCTGTGGGGAGAGGAGAGGTTGCAGAAGCAAGCCTTTGTGTTTGGTTGGAGTCGACTTACTGCTGAGAACAAAAAAGGGGCTGTCTCATGACTTCTGAGCAAAGTGTAAAGGGAATGATTGGGCTTGTCACCTTCAGTCTTGGCTCTTGAATCTGTTGAGAGAGTGGCCGAGTGACAGCTTGAACTGGCCACTGAGAGGAAAAGTGAATTAACCGATTCATCTGCAGCTACCGTGCCTCCAAAACAGGCTTGCAGGGGAAGTTTGACCTGCCCTGCAAACTCTTGAAGCACAGGGCAGCAGCCACAGAAAAACATTAGCATGGAGCAGTGGTTGCCAGGGTGGCATCTGAGGATTCAGAGAGCAAAAGAGTTTTAGGATTTGCTATTTATACCTTCAGGACAGAATAAAATTACTGCTTTCCTAGGAAACCGGCAATGGATTGCCTTTCATTGGGCAAATGGTTTTTCTGAACTTTTTGAGAATCTTTCTATAAGAATAATTGTATTACTACAGTAGGTAACCCAAACGAAACCCACTGGCATAGAGTCAATTCCAACTCTGTACAACAGAGCCGTGCTGCCCCATAGGGTTTCCAGTCTTAACAGAAGCAGACTGTCCCGTGGTCCTCCTGTGGAGTGGCTGGTGGGTTCCTACCAGAGCCCTTTCAGTTAGCAGCCAAGCGCTTATTCACGGCGACACCAGAGCTTCTCATCGTAGGAAAGTTCTATTATATTCCCAAGTCCACTGAGTCCATCAGTTTACTTTAGTCAGTTTAGACAATAAGCGATCCTTATTTTAATGTGTATATCCCTAGATCCTTAGATCTCTGGAAAAGCAATACAGTGCTTAAGAGACTGGACTAGCCTTCCTGTGTCGGAATCCCAGCCCTGGACTCCTGTAATCTTTGCTTCAATTTCATCAACTGAAAATGGGGATAAGAGTAATAGTTCCTACCTCATAGAGTTGTTGTGAAGATTAAATGGGTTGGTGTCTAAAGCTTTTAGGTAAGTACCTGACCCATAATAGGCATTATGTGATGTTGATGTTGTTGTTGCTGCTATAGATGTTATGTTTGGCCATTTCTTTCTTTCCTTTTGGTTGTTTTTGCCAATTTTACTATTGAACTGTTGATCTGACTGTTTTATTGGTGTCCTTTATATATTTTGATATTAGCCCTTTGCCTGTTAGGTGTGTTCTACTATTTTCTTCTCTTTTTAGGGGGGTTGAACAGAATTTTTTAATTATTGCATCAAAGTTGTCAATATTGTCCATATGACTTCTGCATATTTCTGTCTTGTTTAAAAAGGTCTTCCATATCCCAATATTAATGAAATATCCTCCTGTGATTCCTTCTCTTTATAATTAGCTCTTTAGTCTACCGATAATATATTTGTATATGTAGTGAATGATAGAAATCAAACTTGTTCTGCTATTTGGATAGCTAATTATCCCAATAATGTTTGCTTAGTAGTCTGGCATTTCTCCACAGTTTTGAAACAATATCTTCTCATACAGTAAATTTCCATAAGGGTTTACATTTGGAATATCTTTGTTTCATTTAGTCCCTTGTCTCTTCCTATGCTCATACACATTGAGTATGTTTTAGTATAGCTAACAATATGTGCAGAGTGTGTTTAAAGTTATATTGTAAAGTCATTAGAAATATTTACATCCCTGTCATTCACACAGAACCTTGTGTATATGCCTGTAGTAGACGCTCAAGAAGTATGAATCACATAGTGTGTAAATCAAGTGCAATCTTTGTGTTTGAGAAAATTCGGAATAAGTTTTGTACTTGACATAGTTATTTCAAAAATAAATCATTTGCAAGAGTTCCTTCTCATATCATCTTCAACCCACCCCCAGGTCAGATACACTAAAAATCTTTTATTTCTTTCTAATTTTGTTAAAAGCATCAAATTTAGACCCCAGACACTATATCTTTTGTTAGTCGGGCACCATCAGCTTTCTTCACCACATTTGCTTATGCACCCATTTGTCTTCAGCGATCCTGTAGGGAAGGTGAGCATCATGGAATGCCAGGTTATTAGAACAAAGTGTTCTTACGGTGCCCAATGTCCTATCTGCTACCTTAATACTTAACATATAAATATATGTACATGCTTGTATTTAAACCTCTATAAGTGCCCTTTGCCTCCTAGCTCTTTCCTCTATTTCCTTTTACTTTCCTCTTGTCCCACTATCATGTTTGGTCTTCATTCAGGTTTTAGTAATTCCTCTCAGTTACAATGCCATTGATCAAGCCCCACCGGGCATCCTACACCCTCCTCACCATCGATTTTTAGATCACTTGTTGTTCCCTTGTCCATGGGCTTGTTAACACCCACTTCCTTTCCTCCACCTCCCCGTCTCCTGTGTCCCCCGGAACCCTTGGTCCCATTGTTTTCTCCTCCAGATTATTTATCCCGCCTATCTTATCTAGATAGACATACAGATATCTAGATAGACATGCAGAGACAATAATAAGTACAAAAACAAGACAGAGCAAAAGAAAACAACAACCAAAAAAAAAAAAACCAATGACAAAAAAAATAAAATAAAAGCCTATAAATAGTTCCAGGTCTGTTTGTTGACCTTTAGGAATGTTTTCTGGACAACTCCGATGGGGTGCCACACCCTGGCCCCAAAGTCTATTTTTGGTATTCCCCGGGGACTTTATTGCTCTGCTCCCCTTGCTTCTCTGTTGCATGCCCTTAGTGTTTTCTGCCCCTGTGTAGTGGGGTCAGATAGGGCACAATTCCCGCACTGTGCCTGAGTGTTGTTTCTTTAAGTGCTACGGGTCTGTGAGGAGCGTGTGTGTTGTGGTGG